TGTGTGTGTGTGTGTGTGTGTGTGTGTGTGTGTGTGTGTGTGTGTGTTGGAATGGACAGTGCAGGAAATGCGAATGGCTAGTGATGGTGGTAGGCATCAGCTTGAAATAACAAGATACTTATGTGTAATTTTGGAAAGATTTTTGTGTTGTGTGTGAAAAGGTTATTTTCCATAAATTTAAGATATTTCAAAAGCTACTTCCCTTTCATAGAGATATTTCTAGTAAATATGATTAAAGTTAAATAGCAAAAAACTTATGCATGGTCAGGTCAGTCGGTGACATCTGATGGGAAGTCGTGTTATTTCGTGTGTCCTCTACTTTGGCCAGTCATTTCTAGGGACTATGATGGCATTTGCGCCACATGGCAATAGACAGCAACACAGTGTAGTCCATGATATTAATACAGGTGCTCTAGACAGCGGGTGAGGGGCGAGTGAGCTTTCCGTGGAAAGGGCTAGACAGCAACTGTTTTAGGATTCATGGGCTTAGGTAGTCTCTGTCCCAACTTCTGTAGAGTGAAACCAGCACAGGCAGTAGGTCGTGAGTGGGTCTGGGCAGATCCAGCCTATTGGTGAGCTAGTGTATGTATACACCCACAGATATGCCTCGTTCTAAAATACAGATGTAACTCTGTAAACTCTGAACAAAGGGTTCAGGAAATAAATGGATTTAGATTTATCCATTCACTCATTCAGTTTACTTAATGTCAGTTTAAAACTTTATATGTGAAATGCTGTGCCAAATTTAAAGCATTAAGCAATGGGAAAGGCAGGCTGGACCTTACATTCGTGAGTTCATAATGTTCTGAAGAGAGACCCTGACCAATCGTTCAAGTGCATGAGAGTGATGGTGTTGAGCACGCTTACGATGAAAGCCTGCAGTGGATTATTCGCTATATTACGTGTGTGTGTGTGTGCATGCGCGCGTGCGCACCTGCATGCATGTGTGTGCCACCATACGTAGGTGGAGATCAGAGGACAACCTCTTGGAATTAGTACTCTGGTTCCACCATGTACTTGAGCCTTCGGATCAAGCTCAGACGGTCAGGCTTGGTGCAGTCACACGCTTGCCAGTGCTGACTCATTTAGGAAGTGGATAGCTCTCCACGTAGCCAGTCATCACTTGCTATCATTTATACTAATAAAGATTTGTACTACATTTTCCTAAGAAAATACTGCCGTGCCTTCTCTGTAGTGAATTGTTTAACCTAAGCACTTTTTATTGGCCTTCATTCAAAGTAAATTAATACCTAGGAACTAGAATCAGAGTGAAATGAAACTCTCTGTGCATATGTAATTGTTAAATATATACATATGTCTAGATATACTTTGTATGGAAATAACTTTATAATTTATGTTGTTAATATGTGGCTAGCTAGGACTAGAGCAGTATTTCTTCTTTAGCATATTATTATTGTTGAATGTCACAGTGTCTCAGCTTAATGTTATCTATTTAATGTAGTGCGTACTTTTCACTTGTAGAGATCTGTTGTCATCTGAAGGGATGGACGCTCCATGGTCAGAAACCAAGGTATGAAGTCAGACTTTCTGTAAATGTGATTATGTGCTGTAGAATTTAGAATTTTAACTTAAAAAAACAAAACTAAACACATTTATCTGTGCCACAGTGTGCACACGGAGGTCAGAGGACACCTTTAGAGATGGGTTCTTCCCTTCTGCCATGTATGCTCTGGGAATTGAACTCAGGCCATCACACTGGCAGCAAGCATCTTGTCATCTGTCCTGCTGGGCCCTAGGGTGGGTTGTTTGTTTGTTTTTTAAAGACGAATGGGGAAAGAGCATGGCTCAACAGAAAGAATGTGAACCTCAGTACTCAGCTGTGATGCACTCATTCAGCATTGCTTATAAAAGATCTTGGAGCCGGGCCCAGTGGTGCACACCTATGATCCTAGCACTCAGAGGCAGAGGCAGGCGGATCTCTGTGAGTTCAAGGCCAACCTGACCTACAAAGCGGGTCCAGGATAGCCAAGACTACACAGAGGAACTCTGTCTTGAAAAACAAACAAACAAAGATCTTGGATAAGTTCTGCCTTATAATTCCACTGAATAACTTGGAGGTTAGTGAACAAAGTTCTAAAGAAGAGACTTTATAGAATTAGGCCTTCAGTTCTCCATGAAATATAATCTTGTAAAGTGAGACAGGTCCTCATCCAAAAGGCATTGGATAGATATTGTTCTTCCAGAAACTGGGCATCCCAAGATCTCTAAGTTTCTATCTGCAAGGCTTTTTGAGTCAGGGGAACTGTACATTTCAAGGCCTGCTTGCCACATAGTTGGCTAATGATGAGAACTGAACTCTGTAAATCAAAGCATTCTGATTTAACATTCACTGGCTGGCTGAATATATATGCATCTTTGGGACTCATTTTCTGTATTCCTGGTTCTCTTGATCTGCATGCTATATATGTCTTCCCTGCACAGTTCTGGCATTCCTGAAAGTGCAATTGAATTAATTATATAAAAATACCAATTCTTATTTGTAGCAAAATATTATTGCATATGTCACAAAATTGTTAGAGCTGGAGAAATGGCTCAGTGGTTAAGAGCACTGGCTTAAGAGCTTGTTAAGAGCTCGTCCAGAAAACCCAGGTGCAGTTCCCAGCACCTACATGGCAACTCAAAACTGTCCGTAATTCTAGTCTCAGTGTGTCTGGTGCCTCTTCTGGCCTCCAAGGGCACCAGGCATGCATATGGTGCACAGACATACATGCAGGCAAAATACTCATACACATAAAACCCAAAACCAAACCAAACAAAATTTCTATTGTTACAAATTATGAGACTTGGGCACTGGAGAGATGGCTCAGTGGCTAAGAGAGCTGACTGTTCTTCCAGAGGACACAGGTTCAATTCCCAGCACCCACATAGCAGCTTATAGCTGTCTAACTCCAGTTCCGGTGGATCCAACATCCTCATACTGATACAACAACAATGCACAGAAAAATAAAAATAAAAAATCATTTTTAAAAGAAGAAACTATTAGACTTTTAGTTCATTGTAGGTTTAATTCTTTTTCTCTAGTCAAAGATAAAAAACACTGGTCCTGTGAACAAGGTTCAAAACAGACTCCACTCTGCAGATAAGGAAAGGAAGACAAATTTAAGGTATAGTATAGTTTGACAGGCATGGCTTTCTTTTTCTGCTTTACAGCCCACAGTATCTGAAATCTCAGTTGTAAACATTCTGTTTCTCCCGATTTTTATAAGGCCCCAATATAAAGCTACTGCATGTATCCCATAATACTCAGTGATTTTGGAACTGCTTTAAGCAGTTAATAAACATTTTGCATTCTCCAAAACAAAATCACTACCTTTTCATAAATTTTACTATTGTTTTTAATGAGTCACTGTTGAAAGTGAGACTGAGATTTGGGTTTTGTTTAATGACTTTTTAAAAATTTCTGTGTTTCTACTTCTGTTTGTATAAATGTATGCCATAGTTGTACAGGTGCCCTTCTGAGACCAGTCGAGGCTGTCAGAGTCCCCAGAGTTACAAGCAGCTGTGAGCTGCCATTTTGGTGCTGGGAAGGACACTTGGGTCCTCTGTGAGAACAAGTGCTCTTAACTGCTGAGCTGTCTCTCTAGTCCTGGGGCCTGTGCTTTCGGATCAGGTTCCTGCAAATAGATTAAATTGTCTTCTAGCTCTTGACTGCTTGACAGAATGCCACACATTATTGTGTTTGTAAGATGGGAATGTTTGATGTACTATACATTAGATTATGTCATAGTTATCATTTACATCCTGCTGGGTTTTGTAGTTGTTTCTGAATGAGTACAAGACTGCCCTCAGGATTCTGAGCATGTTTTCATGATACTGGCTATGATGACATATTATTATTGTTTTTATAAAAGGAAAATAGTTTCATTGCACCATCTAGTAAGCTATTCCATCTTTATGTCTATCACTACCCAAGCTGGTAATTACATTATAATAATGGGGAATCTTTATTAACTTTTGTGCCTTTCAATTGCTTAAGAAGGAACAAATAGAATTGAAGGGGAGAAGATAAATTTAATAAAAACGGCCTGAAGGGATCATTGTCTAAACTGCATGCATCCCTGCAGAATTCCTTTGTCCAAGCTTCACAGTGACTGTTTAAATAAAAGGTGATTATTGGGCTGGAGAGATGGCTCAGTGCTTAAGAGCACTGTCTGCTCTTCTAAACGACCCGGTTCAATTCCCAGCACCCACATGACAGCTGACAACTGTCTGTACCACCAATTCCAAGGAATCTGACACCTTCACAATAATACACATAAGATAAAATTAAATAAAATTTTTTAAAAAAAGGTGATTATTGCAAAAAATTCAGACCCATTTGCCTTTGTGTTAAAAGTAAGCTGGCTTTCAGAATTGCAGTCTTGGTGATATCCCAGTGTATTTGACCTGGTCCAGTCCTCAGTGCCTTTGGAATGAACTTTATTCCCTAATTAAGAATAATTAGAAGAATAATTAGAAGAATCCACTTAATTTTAAAAAAGTCAAATGCAACATGTTGGTCAACTTTGATTCTTGTCAGAATGTGTTTCCCCACATGGAAAGCAAATGTTGAGTGAGATGGACTGAGGGCCTGGTAATTCCTTCTCACGATGGGGCAGCATCACCCGACAGCATGCAAAGCCAACACAGTAGGCTGGATCTGGCCAGGAGGCCTGGATGGGCCCATCATACCAAGACCCTTAGAACAAAGTCCTTAAAAGTCTCCCCTGCAGAGCCATCGTGTTTAAGTTTCATAGCCGGTTTCTCTGACTGTGGCTGATCGGAGTTCCACCACCTTCCACATCCTGTTTCTGCTCATGTGTGTGTGTGTGTGTGTGTGTGTGTGTGTGTGTGTGTATGTGTGTGTGTGTTTTATTTCTTAGCTTCAAACTGAAACACCCTGATGTGCAGACTGCCAATGATGTGGCCATCCCAGATGATTTCTCAGACTTCTCCCTTGCCAAGACAATTAGCAGGATTGAAGGGCGGCTGGAAGAGGACGGCTTGCCAGAATGTACGGATGACGACAGTTTCTGTGGTGTTAGCAAGGACATTGGGACAGGTAGGTCCTCTTTGTATTTTTTCCTCTTAGCACTACAACTACTTACTTAGAAAAAAGCGATTTGGGGAAACTGTTTTTAAAACTTTGTCATGATATGGATTTGTGTCTAGATAATAATGCTTTAGAAAGATGTAGAGGATGGAAGGGAGGATGGGGAGCCTAGATGAAGTAAATTGGTCAGCAGCAACTGTTGACCAGGGTGGTGGTCAGCTTTCCTCTGCTTTCATTTCTGTTGGATATTTTGCATTGTAAAAAGTTATTTTATTGATTTTATTGAAGTTTTCAACTGAAATTAAATGTCCTGTTGCTTATCAATAGAATAAACCTTCTCTGAATTCATTTAATTTATTTTTATTATATTATTTTTATATGCTAAATCAGTACATTTGAAAAGGATAAATAAATTGATCAAACAGATAAGTAGTTTTTAATGAATATAATTTTCTTTCTGATTAACTTAGATTCTGCATGTAACTAGAAAAAAAACAATGAGTTTTAGTCATCTGAAAGCATTGTATTCGTTAGCAGCAATGCCTCTAAAATTACTGACATTCTGAGGAGCCACCTGTGCTGTTGGAACAAAAACCAGAACAACTGGAATGTGTGAGCACAGTTACTGTGAACTGTCGTTTGGCTGTGTAATGAATGCGGGTGTGCAGTATGGTTAGCTGTGACTCCAATCCGGCTAGCTAGCCCCTCTGTGCTAGCAGTTTCTCCATTTGAAAGTTAGAGTGTGTTACACCATGCCTTGAACACAGCTGATGCATCGCGAGAGGCTGACAGTGTGTCTTTTTCAAACACACAGTTTATTGTGCAGACATTGAAAAGAGGGCGGACAACTCACAGCAAATGAATCTAACACCCTAACAACCTCGCTCTAAGTGATGCCACTGTTTGTCTGGAGACGTGATTCACTCAGACAGTGGCAGTAGTAGCACAAAATATATTGCAGGTGTGAAAGCCCAGTTGTACAGCAAGCCACCATGACTACTACATCCATTGGTGGGGTGGAACAGTGAGTGGGTGCTGGCTCTCAGGCGGATGACCCTTCAGAGCAACACTGCTTGAGCTCAGTAGAGACCAGCTGGTCATACCTAAGTTATCCTTAGCCATTCAACCAGGGAGCCAAACACTTAGTGGTCACCAAGGTCACTGGAAGAATCCCTGATTGCCAGCATCCATGGCTTGAGTGTGTCTAAGTACATTGGGGACCAGCCTCTGCTGAGATGCCTGGAGCCTGGGTCTTTATGGTCCCTCTGAAGCTTGTCTCCTCCTTGCAGACTTTTTGACCTCTGCTACCTGCTCCCAGGGCATTGCTTGTTACACCCAGGAGCTTGGTCTGGCTTTCAGCATGTTCTGATTGTCAGGATGTTTAGCAGGAGTGCCTCCATCTTATTTTCTTCTTTTTAAGGTAGTCACTACAGATGGTAATAAAGTTTATCTCTGAAATTCTGATTCTGAAGAATCCTGTTAAACAAGGCTGTATGTGTAATGATTGAGCTACACCCTAGTCAGTCACCGCAGGAAGCAATTAATTTATGCATTTGTAGCATTTACTGGCCTGGTCAATCCTCTGAGACTAGTAGAGGGAAGGATAGTACGTGAATCAGGAAGTCAATTGTCGCTCTTCAGATGCCTTCCAGGACCTGCTGGGTTGCAGTGGAAGTTTTGGTCTCTTTAAAAACTCAGTTATCCTATATAAGCAGTTTTTGTTTTTTTTGTTTTTTTTGTTTTATCCCAAGTGTGGGATATAGGGCTGCCTTAGTTTGTCTACAGCTGATAATTGCTTCATGCAGCTCAGAGAGGGGCATGGTCTTTGCCAGCTGGAGTTAGTGGAATTCTGAGGTCTCTGGGAGGATAGAAATGCCAGAGCCCAGAAAGAGGAAGGGGCTTCGAGGAGATGGATGGAGAAGAAGGCTGCTTGTTGTCTTGCTGTGTTTGACATTTGCTGGACTGATAGATATCTAGACAACTGAGATTGGTATTTTCCAATCCGACCACCCTAAACAGCCAGAACTAAGTCTAAAGAGGTCTACATTCCCTTTCTTTTCTAATCTTCTTTCTCTCCTACCTAAGGTTGGGAGGTTAGAAGGGAGGTAGAAACTTAAGGAACCCCAAATAAAGTAGAATTTAAAAACTAGCTCCTACGGTGGGCAGATGTTTGTTCCTGGAGACAGTCGCCCACTGCCTTGTTACAGGACAGAGATACAGAAATCCAGGGCCAGCAACAGCTTTACCATAAACACTGCTCTTTCCTGTGGCCACAGTTTTAGTATGTCCCTTCTGTGTGCTTGACCTGGGTGTCTTCATCTAGAGAGAGTATCCTTGTACTCCAGATGCTTGCTTGGAATAGCTGGGTTATGGCTGGAATAGAATGATCTAGAATTAGCTTGGAAGCACAGACTGTAAGATCTGAAGCTTCATTATTGCTAGAGAGGATTTGTTTGTTTCTGTCAAATTCTTGGACATTGCTGGTTGCTATAATTTGGATCACTGTGCTAGGTATGAGTCCAGTCTAAATGTGCAGGAGCTTGAGCTTGTTGGTGTAGTTCTTGGGAGGAAGAGTTTCTGTCCTTGTCCTTCTGACTTTACGTACTCCCCGCAGTCAGTGTGAATACCTGTTGCTGTCTTTTTCTGTTGCCGACGTAGGGAGTGTTTAATGTCTTCAGGGTTCTTGTCGTGGTCTCTTGTTAGACTGCCCACTTTTACTCATAAAATACGATCTTTTAATAATATCTCGGACTTGATTAAAAAAAAAAAAAAAGCAGTCATATAATGGTTTGACCCCACAGATGCTCAGATCCGATTTCTAAAGGCCAAACTGCATGTGATGCAGGAGGAGCTGGACAGTGTGGCGTGTGAGTGCAGTACGAAGGTAAGCTCGGTGGCCTCTCACAGGGTGCTCGGCTCAAGCCGTTGGGGACGTTTTAACTTGGTTTTTTGATAGCCTTCTTTGGATTGCAGTCCACTTAAATATCAGATTCAGAATTTTCTCATAAATACCAAACTTTATTCTGAAGTGCCAGATTACCACAAAACTTAAGAATATATCAAAAATGTTGAAATTGGAATTTACTATTTTACACTTGCTAGATAAGCCATTAAATATAAAATACCTGACTTCCATTTCTGATTGTGAGTATGAAATGGGCTTTATTTTCTCAGTAATTCATGTATCTCCTCAAAGACCATCTGAGGCTCCTTTGTTTTCTGCTGTGTGTTTTAATACCAGATTTTGTTACATTTTCTATATAATTGATTATGTCATTGATTGTAGGAGGATGAAATTCAGGATTTAAAGTCCAAGGTGAAAAATTTTGAAGAAGACTGTGTGAGACAGCAGCGAACAATTACATCCCAACAATCCCAAATAGAAAAATATAAGACTCTTTTTGAAGAAGCAAGCAACAAATGTGATGGATTACAGCAGCAGCTGTCATCGGTAGAAAGGGTAAACATTTTACCTTGTCTTCTGACTCAATGCCAAGGACACGCTGAAACTATTAGAAGGATATTCTTGTTAACTGTTCAGTTTTTAATACTTACCAAAAACTCCCTCATTAAACAGATTATTTGACAACTCTTAGAGGTACGTGAACTATATATCACCTTCTAGTATAGTATGCAGTTCAGTGGCTTTTTGTATATTCATGAATTCATGTAGCCATGATCTCACAAAGAACATATTCAGAGCCTCCAAAAGATGCCTCCTACCCACCTTCAGTCTTCATACCCAATACTTCCCATCCAGGCCAGCCCTGAATTACTACTCTATATGTTTTTCCCAGTAGATCTGTCTGCTCTGGAAATTTCCTTGTACATAAATAATATACAGTCATTGTGATTGACTTCTGTTATTGAAAACACTGCTTATTTGTCTTTACTGCTCATTTATATTATAACACTAATTGTTTCCTTCTTTAATAATGGAGTATATTCCATTCTGCATAACACGTTTTAAAATTTATTGTTTATTTGTTTATTTATCTTGAAATTCTTGGGTTGAAGCCAGTACCTTTCACAGAGACAGTTGGCAGCTCTTTTCTAATGCTGCTGTGTCACTCTGCTCCCTACCAGCAGCATGAGTGTCCAGTCTCTCCAAGCCTTCATCTGTCTAAGTTATTTTTTTTTTGTTACAGCATCCCACTGGCATGAATGGCTATGGTGTGGGTCTGTGTTTCCCTAGCAACATAAGATGTTACTCATTTTTTCATTTATGTATCTTCTTTGGAGAATGATGTTCTCTGACCTAGACACACACACACACACACAGGAGTCCGTGTGTGCTCCTAATATTTACACACACTTGCACATATACAATAAAGAAATTTAATAAAAATCATCTTTATTGGCTGGGTGTGATGACTTATGCCTTTAATCTCAGCCCTTGGGATTCAGAGACAGGTAGTTCTCTTAGTTCAAGGTCAGCCTATTCTACATAGCAAATTCTAGAACAGGTGGGGCTACATAGAGAGATTTTTATCTCAAAAAACAAAACAACAATAAAAAGTCAACTTTTTTTTTTTTAGGAATGAATTAAACACAATAAGGTGGGTGGGTAGGGGGCGGCAGCCCTGTCCTTTAATCCCAGCACTTGGGAGGCAGAGGCAGGTGGATCTCTGCATTCAAGGCCAGCCTGGTCTACAGAGTGAGTTTCTGGACAGCCAGAACTGCACAGAGAAACCCTGTCTCAAAAAACAAAACAACAACAACAAAAACAACCAACCAAACAAAAACCCAATAACATATATTTCTTCTAAATGCACACTTTGGTGAGTAAATTTATCAAAGTTTCAGAAAGCGTTGTCTTAGGAGCCAAACAAGTGGTTTGATTTCTCCCCTACCAATACCTTATACTGGCAGTTTGCTTAACCATTTCCCTCTCTAGGATGTTTTGCCTGGCACATACCACTGAAAAGATGTCCCTTTGTTCCAATCCAAAGAACTGATCTAAACAGTGTTGTCCTCTGACAAGCTAATCCACTGGATATAATGGATGTGAAATTAACAACCAATCCAACTAATAAAGTAAAGACGTTTTCTATGCTCCTGCCTCTGTTCGTTCTTTCCCATGTGGTTTAGCCTCTAAACACCGTCCCACGCAAGTGCTGAGCCACATTCTTTTATTGCACATTGCTTGTTTTGTTGTTGTTTTGTTTTTAATGTTCTAACATTTCATATAGATATAATCGTAAATACACAGTTTTTGTATCTGCTCACTTTTATTCAGCAATTTTATTGTTTTTGTTTTAACTTGTTACATGTTTTGGTTTATTGCTCCATATTTATTCACAAATATACCACATTTGAAATTACTAATTACAAATGCTATCACTCTTCCCATTTTGCATGGAAAGTCTTTATGAGTCCAAATCTGTTATGTTAGATAAATATCTATGAGCAAAATTTCTGGGTTTTTTGAAAAGGTCAGGAGGATTATCAGAAGTTTGAACCCAGCATGGATCCTGCAGGGCATTCCAGGCCAGTCAGGGCTGCCTAATGAATGGGGGAAAAAAGAGGAAAGAAAGAAAGAAGGAAGAAGGAGGATAAAGGAGAAGGAGGAGTAGGAAGAGGAGGAGGAGAAGGAGAAACAGGCAAATCTAACAACAAAATAAACATGTAAGGAAACTGTTAACCCATGTTTCAAAATGTTTGTCCAACCTAGAATTCCAGAACATGGTCCTATCAGCTTCTCTTTAGTAGCTCTTAGAGAGGTAGCAGTGTGTCTTTACAGGGTGGCTTTTACTTCCCTTGCCTGTTGGTGTTGATCTTGTCACGTGCCATGCTGTGTGCTCCTCTGTGGTCTGTCTGTCCACATGATTTGACCTGGCTCCAAGGCTCTTCGTGTTTCTTCTGTAATCCCCTGTATTTATTTAGCATGTGTTTCCAAAGGCAGAAGTTTTAAGTTTTTGATAAATTCTATATAATATTGTTTTCTTGGAATATCAGATTTTTCATTCTGTCTAGAAATTTTTACATGCCCCAAAGCCATGGCCATGAGAATTTTTATTCTAATTATTTCAGTTGTATGTATATATCAGCATTGTGTGAGTCATATACATGTTAATATTTCAAATTAATTTTATGTGTAGCATGAAATAAATGTCTGTTTTTTCATGTAGGTAATTGCATTGTGGGAAATACTGATTCCACCCATTTTATTACTGTGTCATTGGCTGGGGCTCAGTTCAAGACTTTTTTTAAGATTTATTTATTTAGTATTTATACAGAATTCAGCATGTGTACCTGTACCCCATAAAAGGGCACCATACCTCATTATAGATGGTTGTGAGCCACCATGTGGTTGCTGGGAATTGAACTCAGGACCTCTGGAAGAACAACCTTGCTCTTAGCCTCTGAGCCATCTCTCCAGCCCCCAGTTCAAGACACTTCAAACAAATGTAACACTGAAAATTTGAGATTTCCCACAAAGTGTTATCCAGCAAAATGTGAAGTGGGTTTTCTTTTTGGGGATAGCAGTGGCTTTTCCTGTTTTCAGGGTACAGTGTGTCTTCTCTGCATCATGTAACATTTACCAGGATGTAGTGTTGGGCTTGATGGTCCAGCCGTTTAGTCCAGCACTTAGGACAGATGGATGTCTGTGAGTTTGAGACCAGCCTGGTATGGATAGTGAGACTCTTTCTCAAACAACAACAACAACAAAAACCAGTGTGTGACTGAAAACAAGTTTTTAGCCAGGTCTTCTCTTTCTTTAGTGAATTCACTCCCATGGAAAAACGTCATTTGTTCCTTAACTGTTCTTTCTTCTTGCTGTTCTTTCCATGGTGTCAAGAAGGAACAAACAATGGTTTTCAGTTTTCTCAGAAGGAAGTTAGATGGTCACCAGCAAAAGAAGGGCATAGGCTCATGCGTTCTTCTCGAGGCTGGTGTGAGGCGGCCTTGCAGACATGAACAGTGAGAGAGCCTACAAACTCCCAGCATAGCTGCCTCCCACAAAGCTGTGCAGAAGGCTGTGACAGCAGATGGCAGCCAGGCGCAGCTTGATTTGTTTAGAGACCTACATAAGGAACAGCATGTGTTTTGTTTTGTTTTTCCCTTTAATTACTCAAAGCCACAGAGCTGAGTTTCAAAGATGATGTGAATAGCCAAGGAAGAAATGTGTAAAAAGACAAGTGCTGTATTAAAGTGAGCTCTAGCTCTACAGTGATAACTGGGTTTTCTCCATGCTCTTGGGAGGCTCTGGGCCAGCCAGGCCATGTGCTGTGTGGGATTCAATGGAAGTGTCAGTCTTAGAAGACAAGCCCGAGTCGTTTTAATTTTTGATTATTTACTTATGTGCATGTGGGGTGCCTGCGTGCCTGGATGTGCACTGTGTGTGTGTGGTGTCCCAGGCCAGAAGAAAGCATCAGATTCCTGGAACTAGAGTTACAGGCAGTTTTGAGCTGCCGAATATGAGTGCTGGGAACCAAACTGGGTTCCTCTACAAGAGCAGCAAATGCTATTAACCTCCGAGCTATCCCTCCAGCCTTTATAAAGATACTGTTAGTGCCTCTTACATGCAGCTACAGTGCTGGGACTAGGGAAATGAAAACAGTCGATAACTTTAAAAGTATAAACAGCAGTGGGAGAAACAAGCAAGTGAATGGTTTCAGCACCTGCAGCAAATGACGTGCTAAACCTTTATCAGGATGCCCTAGAAGCCCTGAAGAAAAGGTATCAAATGCAACCAATGTCAGCTGTGAGGGCTAGGGACGACACCAGAAGGAGCTCACCAGGTGAGCACCCAGGTGGAGTCTGGGTATCATAAGTACGTGGCAGTTAGGTAAGTGGGGAGTGGAGGCAGAAAGCTTCATGTCTACCAGGGAGAGACATAAGCAGTGCCATTCGAGTCCCCGACAGTGTGTGTGGCAGAGGAGGGGCTGCTATCGCAGAGCTTGCACTTTAGTAGATGGTTATTGTCTCTTCATATGTTAACCATCCGCTTTCAGCAGCGGAGTATTTTAAATCAAGATACACTAAAAGCCTCAAATACAAGCCCTCATACTTTGCAAGACATGTTGCTTCTGCTCAGGTTGGAGAATTTCCAGTGCGGCTAATGTAAGCCCTCCATTTATCCACTGTTCCTTTAAACGGTAGACTTTGCCAGTTCTCCCCAGGAGCAGTATTCTTAGACAGGTGATGTCTTACATTGACCTTTTGGGAGGTTTCCAGAAGGCCTTGAGTGACCTGGAGTTGGTGCATGCCTGTGATCCCAGCATCCAGGAGGCAGACACAGAAGGGTTTCAGCCCCGCCTGGACTACACATACAGCAAGATCCTGTCTCCAAAAAAGTTCAATTTTAAAAGATGTACTTCTGAAATAAATATGAAGCATAATTATACAGTGTTTTGAATCAATAGGAGGAGGCTGAAAATACTAAGCAAAAAGAGCAACACTCATTAGGGCTGGAGAGATGGCTCAGTGGTTAAGAGCACTGGCTGCTCTTCCAGAGAACCTAGGCTCAATTCTCAGCATCCATGTAGCAGCTCATAAGCTTCTGTAACTCCAGTTCCAGGGGTTCTGATGTTTTCTGAGCTCCACACGCACCAGTTACACGGGTGCTGCAGAAATGTAATGTGTGCAGACAAAACACCCACACACAAAAATTCAGGGGTAAAAATTAAAAAAATTATAAAAGCAGTGGCAACTACATTTCAATATAATTTTATATTAATTTATATAACATAATATATTATATTTATATTAATTATTTTATACTTTATATTAATATTTTGTATTAGTCACTTTGTATCCCAGCTGTAGTCCCACCTTCATCCCCTCCCAATCCTGCTCTCCCTTCCCTCCTCTTCTTCTCCCTGCCCCTTCCCCAGTCCACTGATAGTGGAGGACCTCCTCCCCTTCCATCTGACCCTAGCCTATCAGGTCTCATCAGGACTGGCTACATTGTCTTCCTCTGTGGCCTGGTAAGACTGCACCCCCCTGAGGGGGAGGTGATCAAAGAGCCAGCCACTGAGTTCATGTCAGAAACAGTCCCTGTTCCCATTATGATGGAACCCACTTGGAGACTGAGCTGCCATGGGCTACATCTGTGCAGGGGTTCTAGGTTATCTCCATGCATGGGCCTTGGTTGGAGTATCAGTCTCAGAAAAGACCCCTGGGCCCAGATTTTTTGGTTTTGTTGTTCTCCTTGTGGAGCTCCTGTCCTCTCCAGGTCTTTCTATCTCCCCCTTCATTCTTAAGATTCCCTGCACTCTGCCCAAAGTTTGGCTATGAGTCTCAGCATCTGCTTTGATACCCTGCTGGGAAAAGTCTTTCAGAGGCCCTCTGTGGTAGGCTCCTGTCTTATTCCTTATTTTTACCTTCTTCCGATGTCCATTCCGTTTGCCTTTCTGAATGAAGATTGAGCATCTTACCCAGGGTCCTCCTTCTGGCTTAGCTTCTTTAGGTGTACAGATTTTAGTATGTTTATCGTATATTAAATGTCTAATATCCACTTATAAGTGAGTCTATACCATGTGTGTCTTTCTGCTTCTGGGATACCTCACTCAGGCTGATCTTTTCTAGTTCCCAACATTTGCCTGCAAATTTCATGATTTCCTTGTTTTTAATTGCTGAGTAGTATTCCACTGTGCAAATGCTGGTTGTGGTGGTGCATACTGGTAGGATTTACTGAAGGATACACAGCTACATTTTTTAGGTATCTTTTTCTGATACCAGTTTTGAGTGAGAATCCCCTGAGAACTGTGTCTCTTGATGCTTAGCCTGCAGCCCTGTGTGAGTAAAAGCAAGAAATATGGAAATGAAAAAATGTAAAATATAAAAGGGAACTGATATTTCAATACTCCTTTTTTTTTTTAACTACACAGGAATTAGAAAATAAAAAAAGATTACAAAAACAGGCTGCTACAAGCCAAAGTGCCACGGAGGTCCGCCTGAATCGAGCTCTGGAAGAAGCAGAAAAATATAAAGTGGAGCTGAGCAAACTAAGGCAAAACAACAAGGTACACAAACCCGAATGCCCAGAAGTGCTCTCCCTCAGGATCCCTCCCTCTGCAAGCACGGGAGGCCATTGTTTATTTACTCTTTGCAGGGGTGGGTGTGGGGGGGTGAAGGGATTGGGGCACACAGGCCATGGTGCTCATGAGGAGGTCAAAGGACAGCTTCAGGGAGTTGGTTCTCTCCTTCCACCTTTTATGTGCAGTGGGGGGGATTGAACTTAGGTGGGCAAAGCTTACACGTTAAACCTTTACTCACCAAACCATCTCACCGGCCCTGAAGATAGGAGTTTTGAAATTAAAACATCTTATGTCATGCTGAGCATTCTCTTTAAAAAAAAAAAAAAAAAAAATTAATAATAGGTAGGTTAGGATTTTATGTTTTGGCTGTTATAATTGGGTGACTGCACTACTTTGGAGAGTTCATTCATTTCTTCATGTAATCTTTAGAAGGGCCCATGTTTTATGCTGGATTCCTTCTAAACCCTGTGGGTAAGCAATGGGAAAAAAAAAAAGCATCTTTTGTATCTCACCTGCTTCCTTCTCAGGATTCTGCTGTGTACAGGGAGAGAATGTATTAAGGCCCAGTGCTGGGCCTTAAGCACTAGGAGGCTTTGTTAAGTACAGACTACTAGGCCCTAGGCTTTGGAGCATCCCCTCAGCAGGTCAGGGTGAGGCCGGAAAAGCGCACTCTCACTATTGGTGGTAACTGTCACAGGTGTGTAAAGTCCATTGTCACACCTCCAATGTCAGCAGAGCACTCAGTTAATGCCTTGAGTAGCTGTTGGGTGGGTGGAGGCTGATCCTGATGTGAGGATCTTTTATATGTTCTATAAAATTAGTTCTGCATCAGGCTGATGGAATTGCTTCCTTATGACAACACTGAGTACTTTAACAATGACTTAGGGGCTGAAGAGATGGCTCAGCAGTTAAGAACACTGGCTGCTCTTCCAGAGGTTCTGGTTCCTAGCACCCACATGGTGGCTCTCAACCATCTACTGGGATCTGATTCCCTCTTCTGGCATGCAGGTTTACATGCAGCTAGAGCTCTCATATACAGAAAGCAAATAAATCTTTTAAAAGAAACGAGAAATGACTGAGGAACCACCTTATTTTATAATTGATGGTACATTCTGAATTTTCTCAGCAACACTGGCTAGAGTAGACACCTTGATTATTCTTCTGATGTGAGTAGCAGAAGCCAACACGTAACACCTTAACTACAGCATTTAATGATTCTGCCTGAGGCAGCGCATCCTGCATGACCAGCTGTTCCTTGTTTAGAGGCCATCGCCGGTGATCATCCTCACCTACAACACTCAGCACGATGTTAAGACTTAAGAAAGTTAAAGGAAGAGTAATGCGTCAGGATTTGTTCCTCTGGTTGTTGATCTGATCACTGACTGCCATACAGATTAGGGAAACTGTTTCCTTAGCCACAGGTAACTTTCATTCTATCCAGCAATCTTAAACTTCAAGGAATAAAGACGTGGTGTGTAAACACTTCCATAAATTACCAGTGTTACAAAACCTTGGATGTGTGCAAGGCTGACTCGACTTATTTCAAAGTTTCAAAAGTTATTTTAGTGGGAGATCATCTCAAAAAACCAAAAAAGAGAAGAAAGTTATGCATTTACAACTCATACTTTTGAAGTTTTTACTTAGTTGCATAGTTTTAGGATTTGTCTCTGGGGATGTTTAGCTCCACAGTAGTTTTGTTTTTTCTTAACATCTAATCTCTGTGCACATTTTCTTTGGTGAGAAGGTATTTTCCCATTTAATCCTTTGTGTCTTCTTATTCCTGTTAGACATATGATTAGGTAAATTAAAACTTGTGGGTATGTACATTTAAAACATGACAAGAAAATAGTAAGGTTTCCACGAAATAGAACAAGATTCTCTCATAGTCATCAGAAAGTTAAAGATCTGTTTTTAAAATAATGACAAACTTATTCTCCACAGAAGCTAGGAAACAAAAAAATTGGCTTTAATGTAAAAGTAACCTTTTAAACTGAAGTCAGTCAGCTCAAGCCAGATGAAGGGTTACAGGAATCTTTCTTCAGTGTAAGGCTGTGGGCGTGTATATGTGTTACATGAGTATGTGCATGTACACACACACGTATGTATACCCATACATTGAAGGCCAGAGGCTGACACTGGGTGTCCTCCGCAATCACTTTGCCTTAGTTGTTGAGGCCGGTGGCACACTGACCCAAGAACTGGCCAGTTCCTTAGCCCAAATTGCTTGCTCCAGGGTTGCACACAGGCAATGCCATTTACATGGGTGCTAGGGATCCAAACTCTGTCCCTCACACTTACCCAGTGACCCATTATCCGAGTCCTCTCTTCTCTCTTCTCTACTCTCTGGGATCTCACCTGCTCCTAAGTGTCTTGTTTACTGTTGTGTCCTGCAAGCCTGGCACAGCTGTCGCTCTGGAGCCTGCTGAAGGTAGGAGTTGTGAAATGGACCTCTACTTAGAAACAGGGTATTTGATAAGATGGTTTTGGAAATTGTATGGAACCAAAGTCCATGTTACTTCATTTCGAAGTGATAGTATCTGACTCTTTATCAATTCATTTAGAAATACTTATGGGGCCCTGTTAGGTAGTGTACCACCCAGAGGTTTATGGAAGGTGGTAGACAGACGGCATTAGGAATCAAATGTAGTCCTTGCATTCATACACCCAAGTTGACAGAGAAGCTGGATGGTTAAGAAACCAGTCAAGCAGAACTAATCATACACTTGAATTAGCCCATGAGGCAGAATGCTGTGGAGGGTACATGGTGTTCTGAGCAGGTAGCCCGACCATGGCATTTGTGTTCTGAATGTAATCTAAGCCAATACTGGAATAACCAGTAGCAGTTAGGTGCCAAAGGAAAAGATCATGAACAGAAGGAGTGGTGTGTGGAAGTGGCCATGTGGCAAGAACAGAAAAGGCAATCATGGATATGAAGGTCAGAGCAGAAACCAATTCTTGAACACTGGAGAATACAGGGGTCGTTGACCTGGTTAATTAGACGGTGCGTTGGGGTTCTGGAACTCATTCATAGAGCAGTCACATCAGCTGTGGTTGCCCTGCCTTCCAAGTAGGGGACTGTTGCAGGGGATCAAAAATGGGTGCAGATAGGCTGCTTATCAAGAGCAAAATGAGAGATGCTATGGGCTGGACTGACTGGTGGTGGCAAAAATGGAAGTGAATTGAGTATTTTAAAAAGTGCATGTAAGAGAGAAAGCCACAAGGACTGGATATGGGCTTTGAAAGTGGGGAGCCTGAGGTAGCACTTAAAAAAATATTTATTTTTAACTAAGAACATGTGTGTGTGTGTGTGTGTGTGTAGGCAGGCATTATGTGTACATGCATTTAGGTGGCTGAGCAGGCCGGGTCCCTGGAGCTGGACTTAACTACAAGCTCTTATGAGATGCCCAGTGTACGTGCTGGGAACTGAACTTGGGGCCTTTGCAAGAGCAGTTTGTGCACTCTTAGCCACTTAGCCACCAGCTCAGAATTTTACTTAAATTCTTTTTGTTTGTTTGTTTAGCCTAGGTCCTGCCATTACTAAAATAAGAAAGACTTGAATAGGTTTAGGGAAGGACAGTTGTGGTCCATGCCAGTAGGTAAATACTGAAGATGAGGTAAGAGGATTGCAAATTTGAGAACTGGGGAAGAAAGTTATGAATTATTTTAAGCCATTGTAATATTCAAGTTATTCTAAAGAATCTGACCTGGAATATGAAGATTTAAGAGTCTGCACAGGGCAGCAATGAGTAAGAGGAGAAATGCAGTGTGGCACAAAGTGGCCACTGCTGTTGAGTATTACTGAGGGGCTGTTTGAGAGAACTGAGCGCGTGTGCTGAGTGAACAGCAGAGCATCGCCCTAGAAATGTTTCTGCAGGGTGGTTAGTGAGGAGCCCAAGCTCTGCAAGGGATTAAAAATGAAGGAAATGAGGAAATGGAGGAAATACATAATTCTTCCCAGGCACAACTACAATGTATACTTGGAGGGATATACAAGGTTGACTTTATTTTGTTAATGATGTAATTTAAATATGGTAAAGTATAAATTGTATATGTATTGTTTGAGCCTCCGATCTTACACACTCCCATGACCGTGGCTTCAGTTCCCATATAGAACATTTCATTGCCCAGAAAGATCCTTGTGTCCTGGCCAGGCCCTTCCTAGAGGTGCCACCGTCCTGACTTCCTTTCCTGACGTAAACACAGATGAACTTGCTGGATGGACCATGGGCCTGGCTGGTACTCTGCCAGGACTCAGACTGACCCATGCTGGGAGAGTTTTTCCCTCCACCCATCTTATTAATGGCTATCGGTGACTCCTGCCAAACAATCAGCTCACATTTTGGTTTCTGTTTCCTTGAGAGTTCCCTTACACTTCTGCTTTCTTGTTTGGGTTTTAATTTGCTCTTTTGTCTCTAGCTGAAGTTGAACCTTAGAGCAGTGACAGTAAACTGTTTTCTAAAGCATTTAAAGCTACATTTGTTCTTAACGTGATTCTCTACATATGGCGACAATTTTTGGCCTGTTTTAAGTTATATTTTCCATTCTATCGAGACAAGAGCTGTGTATAATAAGCCTGCACATGCTTGGTGTAAAGTGTGGTTGAGTTTTGACAATTAGAGCTTGGGATGGAGGCACGGTCGCCATGTGCAGCCAGCCACAGAGTGATGCTTCACCTTGACACTCTCTGGATGTGTCCTTACATGTATCATAGTTTACTCATAGTCGCATCCTGCTGCCCTCTGTATCCCTTCTCTTCTTACTGCTCCCCTTCCTTCCGTCAATCGCCCTTCCCTCTCTTTGATATTATATGGATGTATATGCAGGTCTAGACTGATGAGAGGAAACATGCAGTATTATCTGAATCTGGCTTGTTTCGCTTAGAATGGCCTCTGGTTGCATTCATTTCCTGCGAGTGGCGAGCTCGCATTCTTCCACACTCTCGCACATTTCCTTTATGCACTCAGCTGTTAGTGGGTTTCTAGACC